TTGTATGATTTTTTACTCCCCGTTCGAAAATTTTTCACTCGAGACGTCAAAATATACCGGTGAAGGGCTTCAAATTTAGACCTTTACTCGGCACTCAGGTTCATTGAGCAGTGAGGGATCTTTATCCTGCCAATGCCTGCCGTGACACGGGGCCTCAGTTTTAAAGGTCTCATCCGAAGGACCCGCAACTTTCACTTCAAAGTGCCGAGTGCTTGGTTAAGGAACAGTTGCTACGTATTTTTTATTGACGTAGGTCAGTCGCGGCCGGGGATCGAACCCACGACCTTCTGATCATGGAGAGAGCGCTCTACTAAATGAGCTGCCCTGACGTGGTGTCGAAAAGTAGACACTTGCTCTCGCCTGCAACTTGATATTTAGATATATCGACGACGTTTTATCAATAAGTTACTTCCATTCATGTGTCGACTCGATATCGAAAAAGTCACATCTGTTTCATATTTGGATGTTTCACTGAATATAAACGATAAGGGCCAACTAACAACAAATATTATGACAAACGAGATGACTTAAGCTTTTCCATCGTTAACTTTCCTTATTAAGCACTAATATTCCGCTGTCACCTTCATATGAAGTAATATCTGCCAACTCATTCAATACTCAAGAACGAAAGTAAAAGATGGATGTTGAAATCACGCAATAAGCTATTAAGGGGCAATATGAAAACCATCTATCCTTCTGTCTTCAATATTTCAGAAGTGGAAAAAGAATTAAATAGATTACAAGATCCCAGCTGACAAAGAAGGTAACAACATTAACATTGTCTTTCTTTGTAAGGCTCATTATTTTAATTGTATTTTAGAGGAACTGGGATTTAGTTCGGCAAGTGGTAATCCAACTGAAACCATAGCTCGCTTTTTAAAGAGGAAACTCTTAGAAATCACATGTCAGTTTTAAAATAATTTTAATATTCCCAACAATCAAAGTGAATTTGAATTACTATACCTACACTGGAAACAAGATACATAGCGGGTTCCAGTAAATATTCTACCAAGCCTCTTTCTTAACTCCTCACTAAAATATTAACAGTAGTGAAGGAGAAACTTCAAGAGTATTTTACAATATATTTTGAGAAGTTGTGTAAATCAGATATGGATATTTAAAAACTCCAAGGAACTTTGAGAAAATTGAAATCACAAAATTTTAACAAAATCAATAATATCAAAACGTATGATTTTTCAATACTCTATGCAACAATTCCCCATGATAAAATGAACATCATAAATGGACATCGTAACTTAAGCGCCTTGTTATTGGTCATTTGCAACATTATTTTGTTAAAAATCATTATGACTGTTCACACAAGTACGCCAAAGTCAATATTAAAATGATGCTCGAGTTTCTGATTGATAATATCTATCTACTTTTTGGCTATCAGGTGTTCCAACAATCTGTTGGAATTCCCATGGGTACCACTTGCGTCCCTTTATTAGCAGACCTATTTTTATATTCAAATGAAGCAGAATTTATTTAGAAATTTATACATGAGAAGAAAACATTTGCTGTGGCCTTTAACTTGACAGATTTATCGACGACGTATTAACAATAGTTAACAATTAATAATCAACAATAGTTACCTTCATCCAAGAAAAAAGTGATGATAATGAACAGCGATCAGATTAGGATTAAAAATTCTTAAACAATACAATTCTATGAAGTGGGCACAAACCACGGATCCCTGGAAATTCCAGAGGTGGGATGAAATGTGTGGAAATAACGAACAGTATTCAAGCTCAAAAGTCCATTAAACATTACAAAATAGGTGCAGAGGAAACACGGACCTCCAAAACATCAGAGGTGGGATCAGGTGCCATGGAGGAGTGAGCATCCCCTGCCGACCGGTCACACCCGCCGTGTTCTCTTTGTCATGATCGGGAAACAACGGAAAAGTCCGTCGACAATTCAGTGTGTAAATAATGGACTAACAATTAGTATGAAAATAGTCAGTCAGCATTTGACTCAATGATAAATTGTATTTGCTGACAAGGTCATTGTATCGACTATAGAACTTACGAAATGATAACTTTAAACGAGACTGCTGATATTCTTGTTTCATCAACTTGTTTGTCAAAATTTACCTCGTTTTAGAAATTGTACATACGTAGAGCTCTTGCTCTTGCGTATTGAATCAACTGAGAGATATAAACCCCGTATGCAGGTGATGAAGGTATATTGCTGCTGCATAAATAAGGGAAGTTGACGATTGAAAAATTAAAGTCATCACGTTTATCATAAAACTTACCATTAACGTCTTTTTCAAGTAAAATATCCAAATATGAAACAGATGTGTCAGACTCTGTAGTATCTTTTATCTCAAGCTCACCAGGATATATCGTATCGACATAAGAATGGAAATAACCATTGCTAATTGACAATACGTCGTCGATATATCTTAATGTCGAGATCAGGTACCTAGGAGGAGTAGGAAAGGTCCCCTGTTGAGCGGTCACACCGGCTTTGAACCTATGTATTGATCATGTAGATGGAACAATCCGTAGTCAAATTAATTCCGTATAGAAACAAAGTCCTAGCAATTGGTATGAAACAAGACAGCCAAAATACGACCCAATGATAGGTTACACTTGCTAACAAGGTCATTATAATGACCAAAGAATTTATGAAATGCCGACTTTAAACGAGCCTGTTGAACTCCTTTTAACATCAACATATCTGTCAGTAGCCTGTCTCGGTTAAAAAATTAATCGTACTCGGAGCATGCTCTCAAGTATCCAATAATATCCAACAATAATGAGAGATGTAAACAACATATGGGTGATATATGTCAACTCAATATATCCATGTGAACTTGAAATAAAAGTTACTGCAGAGTCTGACACACCCATTTCATATGTGGATATTTTACTAGGAAAAGACGTTAATGGTAACCTTACAAACAAGCTTAATGATACACGTGATGACTTTAATTTTCAATCGTCAACTCCCCTTATTTGTGTGACAATATATCCTTATCACCTGCATATGGGGTTTATGTTTCTCAGTTGATTCGATACGAAATAGCATGCTTTAAGTACGAACAATTTCTAAAATGAGGCAGGCTATTAACAAAGTTGATCGAACAAGAATATCAACACTCTCGTATAAAGAGATCATTTTGCGACTTCTATGGTCGATACAATGACCTTGTTAGTATACACAATCGATCACTAAGTCAAATGCTGGCTGACGTTTTTCATACTAATTGTTAGGTCTTCATTTACACACTGAATTGCCTACAGACTTTTCTGTTTTCCCCGATTATGACAAGGAGCACACTGCAGATGTGACCGGTCAGCAGGGAATCACATGCTCACTCTTCCATGGCTATTGATCCCAACTCTGATGTTTTAGAGGTCCGTGTTTGCTCTGCTCCTGTTTTGTAATGTTTAATGGACTTTTGAGCTTGAATACTGTTCGTTATCTCCATATATTTCACTCCTCCATGGCACATGATCCCACCTCTGATGTTTTAGAGGTCCGTGTTCGCTCTGCTCCTAGTGTGTATCGTTTGAATGGACTTTTGAGCTTGAATACTGTTTGTTATCTCCTTAATCTCTCAATTTCATAAACATATTAATGCCTGTAATGAATCAATGTCGACATCGCTTGTGGCCTTGTTAGATTATTATATACCTCAACTTTAGCATTAATTTTGAAGATCAGGATTGATATCGATACGATACTGTCACGATATTGTCGATATCGTCACGATATTGTCGATATCGACCGATATCGGCACAGCACCAAGTTTTACATAGGGTATTCAGTATTTCCAATTTCATAGTACTGATCAGGATGGATATCAATACGATATCGACATAATGGTGTCGATATCTACATCAAATTTATTCTTGGACATGTATGGAGAACAGTCTCATGGGCTAATATCATTGCGAGAAAATTTGACATACTCTGAATAGATTTGGCGGGAGAAACACATGCTGAAAAATTAGGCACACTTGTGCAAGTGAGAGGAACACCAATGTTAAAGTTGAAAAGCTATGAGACCAAACTCAAGCAATCTGTTTCTTCCAGTTTCCGTCTACTGCAGTTATGGCAGTTTCAGTTGTATATCTCTAGAAGTTGCCATTACTCAACCTAGGGCATTGGCACTTCAGACAAACTTATCGCAGCTAATAGTAATACTGAGCAAATTTTAAGGATGTCCATCCCTCATCCAGGAATAATAACTCCTGAAGTTAGCATTTATTTGAACGTCTCAAAATAAAGTTGAAATTTTTCATTCAACAATTTTCAATTTCAGGTTCTTCAATTTGAAGTCTTTGAAACTTGTAAAAAGTTTACATGATCTCCCTATAAAAGGACAAAAAATTGATCTTTTAGGGAAATTAAATTTCTGAACTTTCCTTGCATACAAACATACTAATGCTTATTAGCATGAACCTAAATTGGAAGTAATTGGTGATATCTCACAATATTATCACATGCTATGCCATTTACGTATCAACAGTGATTTTTGTGACTCAATACTTTGTTTTTGAACATTTTCCCTGAAGCAAAATTAGCAGGTACCCTGTCAACCCAATATTTTCACCTTTAAAGTCTAAAGTCTTAAAAAAAGTTTTCATTGTAGTATAGAGGATCCTTAAAACATGTGGGTTTTTTTAGAAGCCTGGATATACATGTAATTTCTTTTATCCTGTAAATATAGTTCCAGATCAATTTCCAACAACAAAATGAATAATTGATGGTTTTATTCACAAGTCCTTAGGACCTTTTTTTTCAGAATTTGTACTTTTCGTTTATATAATGATTAAAATGATGATCTTTGAAGAAAATTGTAGGGGTAGGTACACAACATTTAAATTCAGTGACGTACTTCATACTTTATACCTTTTATTTTTTACATTTTTCTATCAGCTGAATTTATGTCAGTTTGATGATTTGTAAAAGAGTTCCTTTTTGATAGTTTCCTCCTTTGGCATCCAGATTTCTGATGTTACATATGTTTACACAGAACACCATTTTATATATTTGGAATAAGGCTTTATTTCATATGTGTTCTCAAGCCAATGCTCATTTATTATTTATGTTTATCATCAAAACTGTCAACCTCAACACATTACAACTATTTGTACAACTCTTTTTCATGATAAAGAATAAATTAAAGCTATATTGACTGATCTATTTTCTGTTTTGTACACAAGAAAAATTGGTTCATGTTGGAAGTGTTTAGTGGTGTACTCTCTGTTTATCACAAATGTCTCTAAATGAACAACCTCATGCATTATGATTGAGGCCTTTGCTGATGAGGAAGGCTTCCGGTGTGGGGTCACGACCCAGGAAGTCACGCAGCATGTCAGAAGCATCCTGTGAAGAGAATTTACACGTGTTTTAATATATCACTTACATCACAATGTCAGTTACAATATATCACTTACTTCATTATGTCAGTCACAATATATCACCTAGAGTGCACTATGTTAGCTATAACATATCATCTACATCATTATGTTAGTTAAAATATATCACCTACAGCACTATGTCAGTTACAATATATCACCTGCTGTACAATATGTCAGTTACAATATATCACCTACAGCTTTATGGCAGTTACAATATATCACCTACAGCACTATGTCAGTTACAATATATCACCTGCTGTACAATATGTCAGTTACAATATATCACCTACAGCTTTATGGCAGTTACAATATATCACCTACAGCACTATGTCAGTTACAATATATCACCTACAACACTAAGTCAGTAACAATATATCACCTACAGCACTATGTCATTTACAATATATCATTTACAGCACTATGTCAGTTACAACATATCACTAACATCACTATGTCAGTTACAATATATCACCTACAGCACTATGTCAGTTACAATATATCACCTACAGCACTATGTCAGTTACAATATATCACCTACAGCACTATGTCAGTAACAATATATCACCTACAACACTATGTCAGACTAAGGCATGTATTTTAAATGTCTGTTACCTTGGATCCACCAGGGTGTAGTATACACCTCCTGTAATCCCCGCCCACTTTTGGACTCATGATACCCTCCTTCTTGAACCGGGTGTAGAACATGTCCATACAAAAGACTTCACTCCACTACAATATCATTTCAAACATCAGCACATGCAGAATACTTCACTCCATTACAATTTCATTTCAAGTCAGTAACCCTCCTGGGGAGTATTTGTGGTAAGGTTGAGCCATATACAAAATATAGCATGTTGACATCTATAACCTACCAAGTATCCATAAAACTGAGCATCGTATCCCCCCGCTAGATGACCAAAGGAAGCAGACATATTGGTGCCCTCAGTGGATGGGAATCCCAGGTACTCTTGTGAGATCTCAGAGAAAAGCTTTGCTGTGTCAGCCTGAAATAAAAAAAAAATGAATAAGTATATAAATACATGAATAAATAAATCCTAGGTACTCTCAGAGAAAAGTGTCAGTTTTGTCAGCCTGAATTAAACAATCAAAAAGATGTGATTTTTATCATATTTCTATGATATGAAATATAACTATTGATATTTATGTCATATTGTTCAAATTTTCAAGAATGAATAAATTTGCATTCCCTTCAAATCTCCTATTTAATAAGAATTTCAAAAGAGATACAACTATCAATTTTGTTAAATACAAAATAAAAAAAAACAATTCAGATGAGAAAAACAAAAGCTATGATTTCTCATAGTAAATACTATTACATATACAAAAACCACTTATAAGCATACATTAATAAGATGAAATATTAAACTCAAACACAGAACATACACCTACAATAACACTCTATATCTTTTTGAAGGATAACAGTGCATATACATTCAAAGATTTACATACAGTCACTCATCTATAAGACTTTATACACTTCTACCTTTTTCTGAGTGTGTATGGTCTGGTCAAACATTCCCAATAAGATCTTGCGTAGGTTGAACATTCCAGCATTGGCAATGCGGCTCTTGATCAACTTCTCTAACAAGTCATCAGGGATTGGTGCCCCCGTTTTGTAGTGTTTGGACATTCTCTGGAGAGGTTCTTTCTCCCAACACCAATTCTCTAACATCTGAGATGGGGCTTCAAGAAAATCTCTCTCAACACTGGTCCCACTAAATTAATTACAAGTTAAAGGCAAATCATTAATTATATTTCCAAGTCTTCAACTCAAAATACAATAAACTACTATGTAAATTACCTCTACAGCTTCTTTAGTATCTTAAATTAGAAAGCTTTTATTGACAGGAATACAGGGCTTCATTGCATTCCTATATTAATAATGTTGACCTTTTGACCTTTACCTTTCAAAAAGTGGCCTCAGAATCTATAGGAATATACCTCATACGAAAATAATACATTTTGATCTTGACCTTGAAATGAAACTTATACTAATATATAAATGTCATTCTTTTATCACTGTTCAGGTATGAAGCAGAAATTTCATTTAGTTAAAAAAAAAAAATAAAAAAATTAAGCACATACGAAATCTATACAAGTTATCACCATGGTTACATCAATAATCTCATCATTTGACCATAATCTTTGACCCTGTAATCCCACAATTTATAGACACCTTCCTCAATCATTCTCTGAAAGATACTCAAGTTATCACATCAAACCAGAAGTCTCTGATGAGACTGTAGCTCTACTGGTCTGTATATATAACAAATAAGCATTTGGATTTGAAACTTTGTAACATGCAACAATAAATAGAATTATGTATCTTAATGTAGAATTATGTATCTTAATGTAGTCTACTTCTGTTCCAAGTTATATTGAAATCAAAAGAAAACTCTAGGAGGAGTAGCGTTTTGAAAGTATTTCACAGAAAATTCTATTTTTAGTAACCATGATAACACCATTCACTGAAATCAAAAACCGAAATACATATTATGTATCGTAGTGTATTCTAATATGTGCCAAATTAGATTGAAATCAGACCAAAACTGTAGGAAGAGTAACGTTTTAAAGTAATTTCACAGAAATTTCTATTTTTAGTAACCATGGCAACAACATTCATCGAAATCAAAAAAAATTATGTATCTTAGTATAGTCTATTGAATGCCAAATTATATTAAAAGCAGACTAAAACTGTAGTAGGAATAGCGTTTTAAAGTAATTTCACAGAAATTTCTATTTTTAGTAACCATGGCAACACAGTTCATTGAAATCAAAAACAGATGAAGTAAGTTATGTATCTTAGTGTAGTCTACTTGTCTGCCAAGTTATACTAAAATCAGACCAAAACTATAGGAGGAGAAGTGTATTTAAGGAACTTCACAGAAATTTCTATTTTTAGTAACCATGGCAACACCGTTTATCGAAATCAAAAACCGATGCACTAATTTTTGTAGGATAGTGCAGTTTACTTGTGTGGCAAGTTATTTTGAAATCAGACTAAAACTGTAGGAGGAGTAGCGTTTTAAAGGAATTTCACAGAAATTTCTATTTTTAGTAACCATGGCAACGTCGTTCATAGAAATCAAAAACCGATGCACTAAATTATGTATCTTAGTGTAGTCTACTTGTGTGCCAAGTTATACTGAAATCAGACCAAAACTGTAGGAGGAGTAGCGTTTTGAAAAATTGTTTACAGACAGACGGACAGCTAGACAGACAGACAGACGGATGGACGACGGACACCTTACTATCGCATAAGCTCTTCTGGTCTCTGAACAGTAGAGCTAAAAAGTGGTGGTGGACAGACTGACTGCTAGAAAGATGGACCCATTTAATACTATTGGGCACTTAAATCTAATATGGGGTCATAAATTGTTTAGCCAAATGCAGAACATTTTCATCAAAATTCTCACAACTTCATCAAAATCCTCAAAACTAAAACTAAATATGTTTCCATTTTGTAAATTTTATCATTTTATACAAAGAAGACATCAGAACTAACCTAAACAAGGCAAATTCTGCCTGAGCACAAACTCACCTAAACAAGGCAAATTCTACTGAGCACATTCTCATCTGAACAAGGCAAATTGTGCCTGAGCACAAACTCACCTAAACAAGGCAAATTCTGCCTGAGCACAAATCTCGTGCATCGCATGACCAAACTCATGGAAGTACGTCTTTACCTGTATTTAAACAAGTGCAACTTTATATACATGCTTGAGAAATTCTGATGTTTAAAATATATTAAACAAAACAAAGAAGAAATAGCAGCTGTTACCTCATCATGAGTAAGCAGGGCTGGTTTGTCCTCTGTTGGTTTGGTAAAGTTAGCAACCATTCCAGCCACAGCAACCTGTCTCTTCCCATCAGGTTGTAGACACCCGGGCTGTCAGGTAAACAATCAATTTTAAAATTTTATTCGTACATCTACAATTACTTAAAATATTGTTCCAAGATATGCATACTCAATTGCTGGAAATTTCTGTAATTATTTTGATGTTAATGACCTGCAGTACAAAACAAGCAGCGTGTCCAAATTTTCCCTCTCGAGGATACAGGTCTAGATAAAAATAGCCCAGAAGGTTAGACGATTTTTTGTCTTCTACAGTATACTACAAAACAAAAGACAAAATATTCAAGAGATTGGACAGAAACATCTACATTTTTACAAATGTACATACATCTCATTCATTTTTTTAAAAAAAAAAAAATCAACTATTAGTTCTATATTTTAACACATTTACAACATACAATTCCTAATAAATTTCAATTACATTTGGTTGTTTATTGCAGTAGAGAATTATAATTAGACTGACAAACCTCTTTTTACCATTGTAATTGTTATTTGTTACACCGACTTAGATTTCTTTATTTTGTTCCACTGTTTGGGGAAAATTGATTTTTAACAAGCATTTCCTTCTATTGCATATTTGTGTTAAGACGTATCTTAGAGGAAATCTCTGGATGCCAAAACATTACACACACACACACACACACACACCCTCACACACACACACACACACACACACACACACACACACACACACACACACACACACACACATATATATATATATATATATATATATATATATATATATATATATATATATATATATATATATATATATATATATATATATATATATATATATATATATATATGCAATAAAGTGAAGTATACAAGTACCAAGATGTCCTCTACTTAAATAAAAACTTACCAATCTGAACTCAACTTACAGTAAAGCATAACTTACCAATGTGACCTGTATTTTAAGTATTATAAACCTACCAGAGTGACCTCTGGGTGCCAAACTTCAGCATCTTTCACTTGTGTAAATTTGAGATTCAACAGTTCCTAAAAAATAAGGCACAGGTTCACAATTTTATCTTTTACATTACTTTTTATGTAATATTTTTGCAAGAAAATGTTCCATTACCTCGCTGTGGGATTATTAACTTTATCCTAATAGACCTCCTTATTCTTTAACATTATTATAACTTTACATGCATGCAATTTATTTAAATTTACATAAATCTTTATTGTTTAGATTTCCAGCAATTCTTATTGGTGCACTGTTATAAATCTTACAGTTATTTATTTCAGTATATTGATCTAGAGTTACCTGATAGATATCCAGCAGTCCAGCGGTCACAGTTTCCATGGGGAAGTACTCCTTTAGAAGATTGGAGTCCACCGCGTACTGGCGTTCCTCAGTCATCGTCATGTAGTATCGTAGGTCCCAGTAATTTATCTTTCCATCATATTGGTATCCATACTTGTCACACTACAACAAGGCAATAACTAAGATCCTAGAGCATTATAAGGGTAATGCATTAAACTTAAATATGTATGTCACAAAACGAAATGTGTTTGTTTTCCAGTCATATCTTTCTCCTTAATTACCAAACAAAGAACTTTTAAGTCTCAGAGAATGCATTGTACTCTTAATGAATAAATTATGAACAATAAATCTTATCAACTTCTCAACACCTCAAAATCTTTAAACATATCATTTTACAAAATATCTATTTCATTTCTTTTATGATATGCTGTATAGTTTTTGAATACAAAATGCAAATCTGCACAAAATCTTGTTAATATGGAGTATTATTCAACATTGACAACTATATGTATTCCTTAAGACATCTGTTAATTTTATTCAATACATAATATTCACATTCAGTGTATTTTTCTTTGTTGAAAACCATTCGAAATCTAAAACATTCAACTGTCTAAGAACACACTCTAATCCTTCTCATAATATACACTGAATATACACATAAAATACACAGTAGAAACTACCGGTACATACATTATTAATACATTAGGAACAATTTGTATTGTTTCTGCTCAATTAAATTGAAAATATGATGCTTTTATATAACAGCCAACATCCAAAAATAATAATTCAGTACTTTTAAAAATGTACAGTTATTCACAACTTTAATTCAGTACATGTGTTTTTAATGTTACAATAGAATACATCTAAGGTATAAGCATATTAGCTTACTTCCTCTTTCTTGTAGTCAAGGAACACTTTAACTTCCTGATTTTGTAGAGGGCGCAGTTTCTGGGCCAGATCAACCAGGAAATTTTTCACCGTGTCAGGATCTTTGGCCATTCTCATGTCTAACACAAAAGCAGCATGGGTAGGGAATCCTAGAATGTCAGCTTTCTGAAATTATAAATGTGCCTGCTTAGTAAACATTTTAACTTAAGAATTTTCCTCAGATACTGGAAAGCAAATCAATTACAGTAAAAATTTCATATAAAAATATATTTTTAGAAATCACTACACTTGCATTAAGTTAAGGACCCTCTATACACTAGACAAAAATATTTTTTGGGATATTGAGAAAATTATAGTGTGTTAAGGTGTAAGTATTGAGCTTATCTATCACATTTTCAGCATAGGGTGCCTTGCATTTACCCCCAGGAAAAATTTTCAAAGACAATGAAGTACTGATGAGCATAAATCACTGTTGTTTACTTAAGTGGGCAAAATAACTGCAAATTAAGTGTTCTATCTATTCATCTTGGCCTATTAAAGTGTTATAAATGCTTGATTTGATCACAAATTAAGTAATAAACTGTACATTTCAATTTATTTTATTCTTGATCAAAGGGCAGATCACTCTATCTGCATAAAAATACCACAAAATCAAAACTCTATAGTGTGCAGTGTATAGAGGGCTCTTAATCAAATTCTCCTTAAGAGATTGTCTTCATTTACATATTAAAAAAAACAAGAAACTTCATAAATATAGTTTATCCAGACCATCAAGTCCATTTTTTTTTTTTGGGGGGGGGGGGGGCTTTTGAAGCCAAAGAGGGAAAATATGTGAATGGTAACATTCAACAGTACAGATACATGTAATTTGAAGGAAAGTCATGACCACAGTGGAAGATATGATAGAGGTCACTTCAAAAGGGGATCAGAAAGCACAATGAAAGGGAACAAAAACCATGATAAGTTTTAAAGCTGGAGGTGATATAAATAACAATTTGTACAACAATGAACCTTATACCTACGTATGCCCTACTGACCTGGATCATAGTAATAGCGATAGAGAAAAGTTTGCTACAAGCCTCATCAATCTTCGATGGGTGAAGGATTGTAGAATAGTTTTAGTTGACAATTTAAAGCAAATGAACACTCTCAAGGCAAAACCAAGGGTAACAAAACGGAAAAACACAATAATTGTTGGTGACTTTAAAAAAACTCTTACACTGAGGAATAATGCTGGTATGCCTCAATGTTCCTTTTTCATCCTTGTTATTCTGAATACACCAGCTTTCAAGACATTTGGGGAGAGAGAGAGCAATTACACACTTATATCCTAATGGAATATTTCCAATCGCATCAATAAGTCTTACTATTCTCTACTCAATACGGTGTCAGATTAGCAACACCATGCACTTGCTTCTTTTTCCATATACATGTATAAACCTATATGGGGAAATGAATTAATTATTTTTTGAAGACACTTGAATAAAGATCTTGATTTATTATTTTAATTAATATGATGGAAAAATAAAATATCATGAAATTGCCCTGAGAGTCATCAAATTTTCACTTCTGTAGAACTTTTCACAAAATATCTTAGAATCTCAAAAATTATAGAATTTTTTTTAAAAATTTTTTTAACAAGTATCTTAGCAATAGAAAGAACAAAAAATCTTATTTTCTATTACATAAGAATATATTGTCAATGCCTTTAGACAAAAATTATCTTTCGTGAATAAATGAGTTACAGAGATCTTATCATAGTTTATCTCAGTTATAAGCGTTTTTTGTGAAAGGGGCTACTGGGGAGCTGTAGAGAATCTTAAATATTGGTAACAGAAATCGGATACTGAAAGATGACAAGCCAATCAATAGATCAGTTTTCCTTAGGTATCTATTTAACTTTCTACAAGGACAGGCATGCTCCTTCAAACATGATGACAAGCCAATCAATAGATCAGTTTTCCTTAGGTATCTATTCAACTTTCTACAAGGACAGGCATGCTCCTTCAAACAGAGAATTTCATAACTCTAGTAAACAAAGAGCTGAAAACAAACAATAGTGCGTGATGAAGATCATAACTCTAATTATACCTTGGCTCTGAGCTCTACCAGTTCTTCTAAAATGGCAGTGTTTTCTTTAAGACACCTGTAAATGAAACATATCTTAAAAGAATGCAAGAAAGGTTTCATATTTTCAATAAATTCCACAAGCACTGCTTTATGAATGTGATAGAAGAGTTTTGACTGGCAAAAAATACTATCAAATCATTAGTCATACTTCTATGCTCTTAATAATAGTCTTTCTCATGGGATGCACTTCAAATTATTCCTATGCCTTAAAGTATCTTTTTTATATGTTTAATGCATATGTATGTCATGATTCTAACCAGAACTTTGATATTTGTGCTGTTAAGTACCTCGAGTTAAATGCTGTTTCTAGTTTTCTTCTAGTGTCCGGATTCCTGACTTTCTTCATACACGGAAAATAATGGGGATACTTCAGGCTCACATTCAGTTTACCCTCGTCATTCTACAGGAATAATGAGAAACTGACACTTTATAAAAAAATGTGTGTGGTCATTAGAATCTGTAAACAATTTAAGAGATTAGACAATTTATTTCATCTTTGATATGTCTGTTTTAACCATATATATGTTTAATACATGTGTTCATACCTTTTCTAGAGATTTAAGGAAATCTTCAGGGAGTCCAACTGTCAATTAAAGACATGATATAAAGGTAATGCATTTAATTATTTGCCAGGCTAGATCTTAACTCAAATCTTCTACAGACTTTTTCTCACATTAAGGACCATTACGTAAAAACAGTAAATGAAGGAGTCAGTTGTCTACTTCTTACAACAAAAAGCCATTGTTTTTTTTTTTTTGTTTTTTTTTAATATTTTTTAACTATAAACAACAAAATGTGCATCTTGAATTTCTAAAACTTGTAACTAAAACATAAGTTTGTCCTCCCAAATAAACATAGCCTTAACTTTGAGCTGTATAAAATGATTATATATAAGAAATCTTGTTGGAGTTAATAAATACTGTACAAGTTTTAAGATTACAGTTCAGACTATCACAGATTTCATTATTTAACTGTACACCCAGATGAACCGGATGCAGCATAACTTGACAAAAACATTTCCTGTAGTACATGTATATGAGTAAAGATGACAATTGATGACTTTTGTGACTGTAGACTACAAAACACACACACAGACAATAAGTCCTTTGTTTTTGTTGACCTTTAGACTTTTCTGTTTATTTCCTGTACTCAATACAATATCATTTGTGTTGAAGAACAGATTTATCAAAACATTCACTACATGTACTTCTTTATATTCAACGAATAAAATCATTTGCTAATTTCAAACCAAGGCTGTCATAGCACTTTCTTGTTCAAGGTCCAGTCCACCAAGAATTGGAAAATGATTTACATTTTTCAACAAATTAATAAAACTTTTGTTAAAAAAAAGAAGAAAGAAAGAAAACAGAAAAAGAGAAAAAAGTATTTTATTTTATTTCAGCACTACTCTTTAAGAAGATAACCTTAGTATTTAAGGCTCTGTTCAACTGTATTCCGTTGTTACTATTTACACTACTTGGGGATATCTGATAGAAGCTGGGAAAATGTCAGTTTTTTTTTATTTGTAGAGCATCTTTTTGTCAAATCCATATTTGCTGATGTGACAGACCTATAAATTGTCTGAAGAATTCAAAAGGTACATATCCTATTCCAGTCACCATATAATTAATGTTGGCACACCCACATCTGGCCCCAGGATCATAAACTGAGAATAGACTTAAGACAAAATTTCAAACCAATATAACTTTTGAAATAATTTTGATATTGAAAAAAAAAATTTATCATATATTTGAATTTAAATGTTATATAAAATTGCAAATTTTTAAGCAAATACATTAAATAAAACTCAAGATATTAAAAATCAAAATTCTGACTTAAATTTATGGTCTTGGGGTCTGGGACCTGTCAGTATCCCATCACTGAAAACATCTCTCTTGATCTCAGTTAAAGATGGAAATTGTGGATTCTATACTCCATAACCATCATTATAAGGTTATGGAGAATGGTGTGAGAGAGAGAAAGAGAGAGAGGGGAGGGGGAGAAACATGATGGGAATAACTCCCTCACCAAGTTCTTCTTCTGTAAAAGTGAGGATGGTGTTCTCCTCATTCAGATTTTTACTGAAGTCAATGGACAGATCACTCATTCTCTTCTTGATTTCTTTGATTTTTTGTTGTTTCTCTTCAGGCAGATCGAGACCTAAACAATTTTTAAAATATATATATATTTATTTTAATGTTTATTGTATAACACGAACAATGAAAAGTTTATTTAATACGAAATACATTTTTTTTTTAATTTGTATAAATAACAATAGAGCTAAAATTTTCAATTTGAAGCAGAATCTATTAAATAACTTATATATGAGAAGACACTTGCTGTGGCCTTCAACTCTACAATTAGATATAGCGACGACGTTTTATCAATTAACAATGCGAGGGGTGATCAAAATGTTTGCGATCTATTTCTATATTTACAAAACCGCTATTCAGATTAGAATGAAATTTGGCACACAAATAGTCATAAACATGTTCTATGAAAAGCAGCTGCTACGTAATGCTTTGATCCATGTTTGTGACTTCACAATGTGAAAATGCCGTCAATGTGTAGATGACTTGTGACAAAAAATGGCTGACTTAGTCGTACTCGAGCAACGAAAGGCTTTTAAGTTTAATGTATATCTTGGAAATTCCTTTGCAGTAGCATATAATAATTTGTATAATTATAAGAAGACAAACGACTTACCAGAAGTTCAATCATTAATTGGATTGATTGTTTTAGTGAAGGAAGGGAGATGGTTAAAAATGATGTTTGTTCTTGTGCCCAGTCAAAGTAAGCTGGGGAAGAGATGTGTCCTTGATTGAGCAATTTATATAATTGTTATGAAAGATCGCCTAAGTACAATTAGAACTAGATACTATCATGAGACAGTAATACCCGCACGAAGGTGTTTGCCTCTAAATGCACACTCCTTCATATTGGGCTTACCAAGGAAAAAGTCAAAATAATTCTATAATTTACAAAGTACATGTACATGTATTCGTCAGTTCGAGCATAAAATGCTCAGGTGACCATGTGACCCATGAGCCTCTTATTGGTATTTCCTTTACTTATTTATTACCAGTCTGAAATAACACAATTTAATTAATGATGTAAATTAGGTTTTGATAAAAGGGGGATATAAATTTTTGGCCCATAATTGGAACTTTTTAAATTTATTTTCTCAACAACAAATAATATTATTTTAGTAATAGCGTTTTTGATGAATTTAACAAAATGTGCAAACTTTGCATTTAGTATTTGATTAGACAAAAACCTCCTTGAAAAGCCATACCCAATCAATTTTGTCACCCCCCGCCCTCCAACACACACACACACACACACACAAATTGCATGTTTTTGGAAATAGGCCTACATGGCAAATTACGTTAAAACATCGTTTGTTATGATAATTTAAAATTTGTTCTTGTACTGTATATGTATGTGAACACCATTTTGAAAACTTCTACATCACATTGGGCTTGCGTCACCCTACTAGTACTAGTTTTACCATTATCATTGCACATGGTGCAGCGTGGTGTAAACATCGTTACATGTATATCAGTAGAAATTAATTCATTTTGTGTTTTAGGTGGATTATATTTCATGAAGTTGACAGGATCTATGACAGTCGGTAAGTACAATTTTAAGTATTGAATGGGGTAAAATAACCGAAATGCAAATGATTAGGTAAAAGTTTAAAAAGGATCAAAGATCCTCGATGCCACAATAGACGAATTTCAAATTGTGAAGAGTTATCTCCCGTTGTCGACTTTACATTCAGTTACAGGCACAGATCCAGGAATTTTTTCCGGGGAAAAAAACAAAACAAAAAACAAACAAAATAAATACAATGATGGTGGGGTCCATGTTTTTAAAGGGGGAGGGCATCCAAAGTCATTTTTTATTTGCTTCTGTAAATCAGTATATAGTCCTATTTAAATAATTCTGCAAATTCCAGGGGGGGGGGGGTGTCCAATCTCCCTAGCCGCTCCCTGTCCCTGAAATGACAAATGATCATGTGACTCCAGAATAGTAGAAAACTTTTCCATTTGACTATACATAATTTTGTTTCTTGTGTTACTAGTATTATGTTATGTATATCTAATGGTTTAAGGTTATGAACCTTGGAGGTCATCCCCACTCTCTTAATGAACTTGAAATGTTTATAATATGACTACATCAAATAAAATAAAAGAGCATCAATGATAAGATTGCTTGACATTTCATTCATGAATTTCGGTCAACCCATGTAGAATTAGGAATGAAAATCATTCAAAGAGATGGACCATTAAACTATTTGTATATATTCACATTTTTTATGTCAAAACAAAGTATTAGTTTCATGAACAAACAGGGCAAGGGCGAGGGGGAGTTATCTCTTTACGTCTTAATTGTTGAAAACTCCTATAATGAATGTTAACCTCAAATCCGACTTGTACGTCTTCATTAATTTTAAGTGGTGGTGTCTCCATATGAGTGAAAAATTCCCGAGAGGGACATTTAACAACAAACAAACATTAATAACTTTAAAAACACAATATACATGTACATGTTTATTAGTCAACGGATATACTTCTGGTCATATCTCTAGTTCTCCCTTGAATCAGAAATGAATGATATAACTATTTTTAAGAATGATTAAGAGTTGAAAAGGTTGTGCATTTTAAAATTGACTAAGCTCTGTGGTTGAATAAGCTATACCAGTTTAGCTTATTTTGCTACTCAAAGCACCTTGATTAACTATTTTTAATCATACTGTTTTCTGAAATGTGAAGTTTTTTTCAACATGGATACAAGTCATACCTTTTCAGCTTCTGAAAACAATGCATAAAAAAACTGCTTTTCAAATACTGTAACTCTTTCCAAGTACTTGTGATCATCAGTTTTTAGCTCACTTGAGTTTTTCTGGTTTTCTGATCACATTTTGTCTGTCATCCATCTGTCCGCCTGTAAACTTTTTACATTTTTGTCTTCTTCACTAGAACCGCTTGGCCAGTTTCAACCAACCCTGCCACAAAGCATCTTCGGGTAAAGGGGATTCAAGTTTGTTCAACTGAAGGGTCACACCCTCTTTCAAGGGGGGATAATCAAGAATTAGTGAAAATTTGGTGGTATCATTTAAAAAAGTCTTATCAAGAACCACTGACTGGGCCCAAAAAGTTGAAACTTTCTTTACATAGACTTAGTGTAGATTCAAATTTGTTCAAATTATGACCCACTGGGGTAAGATGGGACCACATACTGTAGATTCCTTATTTTTCGCGAGTACTTATTAACGCGAAATGGCTCTTTAACGTCAAATCGCGAGAACAATAATTCACGAGTGGACGGTTGATCAAGGGATTTTACATTGATTTCAGCACCATAAAAATAAAAGCGAGTAATTTTATTTCGCGAGTGGTGCTTCTCGCGTAATTACGCGATAATTAATTCCTCGCGTATATTTAGGAATCTACAGTATGGGGATCCAATGATTTACATAGAAAAATGCAGGGGATTTTTTCCATCATAAATCTTCTTCTCAAGAACAGCAAGGGCATTATTGTCATCCGTCTTCGCGAAAGGGACCTAGGAGACATTAAATCTCATTTGTCTGTCAGTCTGTCCGTCTGTCACAATAAATTTAACCTTGGTCATAACTTTGGAATAATAAGAGATAGGGCTTTCATATTTCACATGTACATTACCTACAAGAACTTTCTAAACATACTATGATTTTTGAACCCATGACCTTGACCCTGAAGTTTGACCTACTTTTCAAAAAAATTAACATTATTTTAAATTGATCATTTTGAAAGAGAAAAGATAGGACATTCATATTATACATGTATATTACCTGTGACAAGACCTTTCTAAATATATCATGACTTTCAACTCTGTGACATTGACCTTGAAGTTTAACCTACTTTTCAAAAATGTTATATTTCCTTAAAACTTTTGATTGAGAAGAGATAGGACTTTCATATTTGACATGTACATTACATGTAACAATATGTTTCCTAGCATGCTATGATTTTTTACCCCTTGACCTTGATGTTTTACCTAATTTTCAAAAATTTTAACTGGTGATTACTTTTGAATGACATATGATAGGGCGTGCATATTTGAAACAATATGTCATAAATAATGGCATCCCATCCACTAGGACACGGAAAGAAGGGGACCACAATTCTTTGAATTTGCTTGTTAGTCATTTTGATATGGAAACATCCTCATATAGTGTAGATTCAAGTTTTTTATGCCCTGCCATGAATATGGACGAGGCATACAGTGTTTGTCATGTCCGACTTCAATCAAACGTCATATGCTGATACACACTGATGTAAGCTTTTCAACTGCATCAACCTTTTTGACCTTGACCTTTCCTTTGACCTTGACCTCACTTTTCTTAGATTAGTGTCTAGATCAGTTTTGAATAAACAATTCAAGATATATTTATCAAACTTCATATGCTGATATATACTGCTGAGAGCTATCAATTGCATCAACTTTTTTTACCTTGACTTTTCCTTTGACCTTGACCTCATTTTTTTTAAAATTATTATCTGCGTTTTAAATAAACCATTTATGATATTTTTATCAAACTTCATTTGCTAATAGTAAATACATACTGATGTAAGCTTTTCAACTGCATCAACATTTTGACCTCAACCTTTCCTTTGACCTTGACCTCTCTTTTCTCAAATAAGTGTTAAGCTCAGTTTTAAATAAATCATTCAAGATATTTTTATCAAACCTAATATGCTGATATATATTAGTGAGGGCTATTCAACTGCATCAAAAACTTTTCACCTTGCACTTTCCTGTGACCTTGACCTCCCTTCTCTTTAATTTGTATTTTGCTTAGTTTTAAAGAAACAATCTAAGATATTTTTATGTAAGCATGCACTTATACATAATTTGGTGAGAATTTATCATCTATTTCCATTTTTAGATTTTAGTTTCAATTTTAAAGAATCTGTTCAAGATATTCTCATCAAACTTCATACACTCATACAAATTTTCATGTTGCATCAGTAATATACATTCGGCGGGGCATTTATGTCCTATGGACATATTTCTAGTTTTCAAATCATGACCTCCAAGGGTAGGGTCAGGCCACAATAAGGGATCAAAATTTTATATAGGAATAAAAGGGGAAAAAAGTCTTCAAAATTCTTCTTTTCAAGAACAACATAAGCATGATTAATATGGAAACATTCCCAAGAAGTGTAGATTCAAGTTTGTACAAATCATGACCCCATGGGTTATGGACGGGCCATTTTTTCCTGCCCTTATTTGCCATCCACATGGAAATGCAAATTTTAAAACCATTTTACACATCCACAGGACAAAATCATCTTCCAAATGATCATGATTTAAGGCTAGTGCATAAAATTTAAGAGAAGTTCTGGGAACCAAGGTGTTTAAATATGTTAAATATATTTTAAAAAAAATTGACCCCTGTTTGACCCCAGGGTGAAAATAAAAATTCCGAAACCTTACTGCACATCTACATGACACCACCATCCATCTCCCAAAAGATGATTAGGCTACTGTGTAAAATGTAAGAGGAGTTCTGGGAACCAGGGGCTTTTTACATAAAAAACGTCATTTTTCGACCCCTGTTTGACCCCCAGGGTGGAAAAGAAAATCCGAAACCTTACTGCACATCTACATGACACCACCAACCATCTTCTAAAAGATGATTAGGCTACTGTGTAAAATGTATGAGGAGTTCAGGGAACCAGGGGCTTTTTGCATTAAAAAAACGTCATTTTTCGACCCCCATTTGATCCCCAGGGTGAAAATGAAAATTACAAAACCTTACTGCACATCTACAGGATACCACTTACCCACTCCCAAAAGATGATTATGCTACTGTGTAAAATGTAAGAGGAGTTCTGGGAACCAGGGGCTTTTTGCATTAAAAACGTCATTTTTCGACCCCCATTTGATCCCCAGGGTGAAAATGAAAATTCCGAAACCTTACTGGACATCTACATGACACCACCAACCATCTCTCAAAAGATGATTAGGCTACTGTGTAAAATGTAAGAGGAGTTTGAGAAAGAAGAGTGTGACAGACAGACGGACGGACAGACGGACAGACATGAGTAACAACAATATACCCGAACTTTCTTTAGAAAGTGCGGGCATAAATATAGTTGAATATCTTAAGAATATTATAGATATTAAATCCCTAAAATCCCGTTTACTTTAGACTTTAAACATATCAGATAAAAGATAAAAGAGGGCGACCATACTTTATCCACAATGGAAAAACGACGCATCCAAGACAGAGAAGTTTTGTTGTGATGGTCATCATGCTCATTCTGAGAAAATATTTCCTTATCCACCCATCCTATTTCCGAGAATTGGCCATTTGCGACAAGTGGACTATTCTTGTATTAAAAAAATAACTTGCATGGTAAGAAATAAAAATGTTTTAGCCTCTGTGAACAGAACGCTACGGAGCATGTCACGTGACCGCCTGGACCACGTGATTCGTGCAAGGGCAGAGCAGTGGCAGATGTGCATTAAAATCGGAGGGGAACACTTTAAGAAATGATTAACACCGAAATCTAATTTTATATCTTTTATTGAAGTTATTTGATACAACGACCTAAGCAGCAAATACAATCTTTCATTAAGTCAAATGCTGAGCGACGTTTTTCATCCTGATTGTTATGCTATTATTTAAACATTGAACTGTCTACGGATTTTTCCATTTGACTGATCATAACAAGCAGCAAATGCTGGATGTAACCTGTTGACAGGGGATGCTTAATCTTCTATGACACATGATCCCACCTCTGATATTTTCAAAAGTCCGTGTTTGCAACAAGATTTGTATTGTTTCAATGGATTTTTGAGCTTGATTACTGTTCGTTTTCTCCATATTTCACCTTAACATCACTGCATATTTGATTCTTCAGTCTAATATGTATGTCACATACAAGATTACTTCCATCTATGCAATGAAGACAAGAGTCAAATATGCCAAGAGGTACATGCAATCAGATAGAGAAATAAGTACATTTGCCATTTCCTCTTATTTAAACAGAACAAATATTATGAACTTAGAGTCTGTAGAAACACTCTAGAAGACTTTACACATACTGTATCATGGTGAATGAGAAACATATTGCAAAATCTTAAAGAAATTGTTCCCCAATAAATAAGTTACCATTTTGTCTTCCGAGCTTGATCATTCTTTCTACATATCTTTTTGATTCTTCTGAGCCTTCTTTCGAAAATTTCTTCTCATAAGCAATCAGTGCATTAAAAACATCTTGTCTCATGCTGCCAAAAACATTTCATTGTATTGAGATGTTACACCTTACTAACAAATTTATTAACAAAATGACTTTAAGTAAAATTTATAGATGACTTAGTAAAGTAAATTGACATACCTCATTTCTATATCAAATTCAGATATTTTTTTGTCAATTTCAACACTGGCGTCTCTCAGCTCCTTATCAGCAGAAACATGCTGCATGAACTCCAGATTGCTCTTCGCCACAGCGTATTCACAGTCATTGTCAGCAAGAGCCTATGAAAAATAGTAATTATGTAACGGAAAGTTTTACAGATGTTCCTCAAACAGCCCATCACTCCCTTATGGTGCAGCATTCCCTACATCCTTCATTAAATTAGGTAAATTTTTGTATTGTAGAACCACATTTTATATCATAGGTATATCATCCGTAAACAATGTTGATCTAGAGGATTGCGTATTAGCCAATCAGATTTCAGCGCACCTGCAAGCACATGTTTCCTAGATTTTTCACATATATCGTCTTATAGTGTCTCTTTGTACAGATAACTACATGTATATCTAAAAAGATTTAATTGAAAAATAAGACAGCTATAATCATTCAAGTATTATCCAATAAGAAAGGAGAACGCGTACATGCATATACCTGCATTATTTTTGATAGTACCGTAATGTAGGGACACATTATACTTATCTATATTCTAAATTCTGTCCTATTACTAGTATAATGAAAATTATAGTTAAAGTTATAGGCATTTAAAGTTTCAGCCAATCAAACTGCAGCACACTTGCATGTGTGTGTTTTTACAAATTCCCATATAAATCAATTTTAGAACCTCATAATGCAATATATATTTTAATTATTGAATTTTTGGTGTCAGCCAATCAGAGCCAAGCGTATATGCATGCTCGTGCTTTCATAATAATTCAACAACATCATCCTGTCTTCACTACTAATATATGTACATATACTAAGTTTCATTTAAGGAGGAGTGATTAATGACTATGGATGAACTATGAACAGATGAAAGAATGCGATTTTTCTAGCAAAAAATAATTTTTGAAATAATAATTTTATGAAAATGCACGAGGACATTACGAGGACATTAACAAAGACGCTTCACGCCGGCATATTTTATGAAGCGTATAAGCACGAAGCGACGCAAATTTATGTCATTCAACAATTATTTTTGAAACTAAATATTATAGTTTTGACGTCAAGTGTGGAATTATGACGTCACAATGGATATATTCTTGCTCCCTCATGTTCTCATGTACCTTGTTCATGAGAAAATGATGCGAATAATATGAAGGAAAAATATTTGCAGATGTAAATATTAATAGCAAATCAATATTGTATGCCAATTAAGATACTAGGATTTTTATATATTTATTGTAGATACAAGTTCTATGAAATAACCCCTATTAATTATATGTTCAGACAGGTGTCTAACCCCCCCCCCCTCCCCCCATTCCAGGTCACAGTGCAGAGACCTCGATGTTTGTTTATTTTTTTGAGTACGTGATTTTATTTTTTACTTTTTTTTATTCTGATTTGCGTGTAAAATGAGCAACAACCATAGAATTTTCAGGAAAAAAGTATTTATTAATCTACACATATTGATTTTTCTTTAGTCTTTTAACAGAATATACATATTTAAGGTTCAGCAGCAAACGATACGGAAATTTATGAAATCTTATAATATTTTAGGAAGGGGGGGGGGGAGGGGGTATTGAAATGCATGTAGCTTCAAAATGAATGTGATGACCTTACTTCATATTTTAACCATAAGTCACTTATAATAATTTGTACAAAATATATTAGTTTTTGGAAAATTCATTGGGTAATTTTTTGTCAACACGTTGAGAACTGCTCTTGAGGTGAAAATATTACTGCAAATTTACAATGAATACTCCCCAAAGCAGCGGTGGCATTACTACATCTATGAATAGTTTCCGAAATTTTTTTTATTTTCATTGAATATAAAGCATATTATTTAATATCTAGTGGAATTTTTTTAATTTTATTTCAATTTTGATACCTGTATGCATGGGATATATAAAATTTCACCTCATAAATATCAAAATATTGAAAAACTGCGGTTACCATGGCAACCATATCATCCTTATAACCCTGATGACCATGGTTGAAATTTTCATATTTTGATACCATTAACGTAAGGCACATTATGTATAAAATGAGAAAAATTCATTGAACGGATTTTTTTTCTTGGACCGTTGCAATCGCTTCCTTAAAAGGCCAATATTAGTTGTTAATTATTTAATAAGAATTTTCCCCTATTTTTCATAGAAAAAGAAAAATGTGTTTTATTTGCTAATTAGATGTGTGACCGGTCGGCAGGGGATGCTCACTCCTCCATGGCACCTGATCCCACCTCTAATATTTGGAGTCCGTGTTTGCTCTGCTCCTATTTTGTATTGTTTAATGGACTTTTGAGCTTGAATACTGTTCGTTTTCTCCATATATTTCATGCTTTAGGGTTAAAAATTTGCTGTTAAAAATGCATCATATGAATGTCTAATAAAATATGTTATTAAAGGCTGGATGAACATTTTAATTTTTTAAATAAAAAATTATTTTTGAAAATAAAACACATAATTTTTGAATTTTTTATTTTCACAAGAATACTAGTTTGTTTATGTGTAATTCAGGTTAAAAAGTAATTGGACTTGATAATCTAATAGATTTCTTAATGGTAAATACAAAAAGAAGACAGTAAATAATTATTTTATTTATTTTGTGCTAATTTTGCTCGGGATCAGTTTAATTTTGATCGGAATTGGTCCAAATATTAAAATAAGTATTTCCCTAAAATTTCTCAATTTTATTTCAATTTCTTTTTAAGATATGATTGACTAACATATTCTCTCTAGTTGTGACTATTTCTATGAAGATTTTAACCATATGGTTAAAAAATATTCACAGATTATGTGTTTTATTTTCATAAATATTTTTTTATTTAAAAAATTAAAATGTCTATTCAGCCTTTATTAACATATTTTAGTAGACATTCATATTATGCATTTATTAATAGCAAAATTTAAACCAAAAAGCATCTTATTTGCAAATAAAACATTTTTTTCATTTTCTCTTAAAAAATGCAAAAATATTCGAATAAAATAATTAAAAGCTAATATCGGTCTTTCAATGCTGAAACCATAGTTTAAAAGGGATTTCTTAAAGAGCTATTAAATATTTGGTGTGGCATTCCTCCGTAATAAAAGATATAACAGATAAAACTATTTCTTCGTCATTTCACTCATCTCACGCGCATGCATCTGCACGCAAAATGACTGTTCAGCACATCTACATAACATGCCTGTTAATCCTTAAAAAAAAGGTTTCTCCTCAATCGGATGAGTAGTTATAGAGAACACTCGCAGACAAAAAAGTACCTAAGAAAAAAAATTGAAAAGGAAAGTAAAAACAATATGTTCCCAAACTTCGTTTGCGGAACATAATAACACATTCTACAGTGATTTTATATGATGGCAATCATGTCCGAATTTTCTAATATACATGCCCAACAGTTACACCTAAGCATATAAAAACGCATAACCTTATGTATGTTATGCTTTTGAAATGAGTGTAAATACCTTTACAACATTATTGTAGGTGACAGCGTCCGGAGAAAGCGCTCCCACACCGTCGTAAACAGCTTTTGTTTTGGTCATCAACTCATCAGCTGATTTCTTCATAATATCTGGTGTCAACTTCCACATCAGTTTGTTGTCTTTCGATGACGACATGTTGTTTGTGTACCTACGAATACCCTGAGAGTGTAAAAGTAGGATTTTATATAGCAAATTCTATATTGCAAAAAATAAAACCTGTTTTCCCATGCATGCAACAACGGTAAGCTTTCATCAAATACGATCAAGTTTTTTTTATTAGACGTCTACGATTTGCTCTTCGTGAATCACTTTATTTTCATGCATTATCTAACTTTTCTTCCAATAGAGCTCTCTAAATATTGGAAGTTTTCGTTAGAAAATAATATTATTGGCATGGAGTTATAAAGTTCCAACATAGCTTTTTAATATCATAAACTGCTTTTTCAATAAAAATGGAACTCAGAAATTTTCGTATTTTGTGATTGGTCCTCAGTAAAATTACTTTGTTAAGAATCACTCTGATTCACCGATTCTACACACAAGAACTCGGACATTAATATTAAAAGGATGTTGAGAAATTCATTGACAATATCTATGTAGATTTTTGAGACCAGGTCTTCCATCAGTTTGTTGTTCCTTTATAGCCGACCTGTTTTTATATTTTTATGAAGCAAAATTTATTTAAAAACTTATACATGAGAAGAAAGCACTTGCTATGGCCTTCAGCTCAACATTCAGATATGTCGACAACGATTTATCAATAAATAATAGTTACTTCCATTCATATGCGGCTCGATATGAACTCGAAATAAAAAAAACACCACAGAGTCTTCGCACATCTGTTTCATATTTGGATGTTTTATTGACTATAGTCGATGAAGGCCAACTAACAACTAAACTTTATGTTAAAGGAGATTACTTCAGATTTTCCACCGTCAGCCTTTTTATTTATGTAGTATATGTCGCCTGCATAGTATGTTGTTTATGTCTTCCAACTCATTTGATACTCAAGGGGCTTTCCGAGTACGATCAATTTTTCAAACCGAGGCAGGCTACTGACAGATAAGTTGATGATACAGGGATTTCAACAACTTCGTTTAAAGTCAGCATTTCGGAAATTCCATGGTCGTTAAAATGACCTTGTTAGTAAATAAAAAAATATGATTGGGTCAATTTTGACTGACATATTTTATACTAATTGTTAGGCCTTTTCTAATACAAAATTTGACTAGGGAATATTCCTTTCACCTGATCAATACATAAGGTTCACGACGAGTGAGACCTGTCGACATTGTTGCTTACTCTTCCTAATTGCGAGGTAATTTTTTTTTTTTTAAATTTGACCATTTCCAGTTTCATGGGATGAGCATGACCTCCAAGAGGTCTAGAATCATTTTAATTTTAAAGCATCATGATGCAAAAATATGTTTTGTTATTTCCAATTCTAGGGAGTGAAGTAATCCGGAGTAATCCGGTTTAATATGTCACATTACTTCCATATGGCACTTAATGTATTACCGAAGAATTGTAAATCAGAGTATTTTAGCCCTTATTTAGGATCAATTCATTTGTCAGAAGCCTACCTCGGATTAAAAAATGATCGTACACAGAACATGCTTTTACGTACCGAATAAAATGGGAGGCAAATTCACCGTATGCTAGTGTTTAAAATGCAAAATGCTTTGTTTACACGTGGATAAATGGTTACAACATTTCTGGAGAAGCATAATTCCTGCACCCGTTCATCCCCTAAAACAAGCAAAAAAGGCATATTATTACAACTCGAAATGTAATAACAACGCAAAATGTAATAAGCTGGAATTATAATTACTATTTTCTTTACATTAACATTACATTTTGCGTCAAAATCAACGGAGAATGTAATTACGCAAAATGTAATAAAAGACTTTTTAGGATTAATACATTTTGCGTAATTACATTTTGAGTCGGGTTAGGAGTATGAAATTTTTTTTACGGTACATTCTATATTTTTCCTTTGTTTATGCATAAATAAGGTCTGTCTCATAGAATTTGAGTTTTTGTTCCCCAGTAAATTTTTGCATTGCACGCTCCTTTCATAAAAATTGTACATCCACTGAATACTAGTGTTACTGAACGGAAAGATGATTTAAAATCGGTGGAATTTAATCAATGATATAATTAAATCAAATACTAGTTACTCAAATATACATAAACACTAAACACGAGTATGTCCTTTTGCATTTAAAAAAAATTAATAAAAATTGTCATGTCTGACAGCAGGAAATACTGTATATGTACTTAAAAAAGCGGGCTTCATATTTTAGCCGCTTTGGCGCAGATAATGATGCGCTAATTCATGAATGCCGCTAAATAATCATTTATAAATACCATATAGGGCACGGACGTGTGTATCGCTAATTCATGATTACGCCAACAACTGCATATACATTGATTGTGCTAAATTTTGAATACGCCAAATTATGAACACGTACAGCACTTTGATCCCTTGAAATGGAACTTACTTTATTTCGTAGATCAGGAAACGGCCAATAATAAAGCAATATATATAATCATTGGTGTGAAAATTATTTTCAACCTGACTGACCAAAAAGTGTGTTTTTAAATTTTGAATTGTTGCGTTTTGCTAAATATCGACGCAAAATACAATAACAAAAAATATAATAATCCAAAAAATATCTTATTACAATGTGCGTTATAAGATTTTGCATTGACATCAACGGAAAATGTAATAACGCAAAATGCAATATTCCTGAAGTATCCTATGACGTTTTGCATTATAAAATTCTGCGTTTATTGTAATATGCAAGATGTATTAATCCCGGTTTATTACATTTTGCGTTGTTATTACATTTCGCGTTGTAACAATGAAATATGAAGATAACAAACAGTATTCAATCTCGAAAGTCCAATGAAACGATACAAATTTGGAGCAGAGCAACCACAGACCTCAATATTTAGAGGTGGGATCGGGTGCCATGGAGGAGTGAGCATCCCCTGCCGACCGGTCACACCCGCCGTATGCTCATCGTCATGATCGGAAAAGAACCCGGAAAAATCCGTAGACAGTTCAGTGTATAAAATAATGGACTAACAATTAGTATGAAAAAAGTCAGTCAGCATTTGACTCAATGATAGGTTGTATGTGCTGACAATGAAAAAACGTCCTATTATGAATCCTTATGTCATTTTGATGGAAGATTCACCAAACTGTTTAGCTTTTGTACTTATTAAAAGAAATCTTTCATAAAGATGGTATATAATAAGAATCGATTGAAACAGTTCAGAAGTCGATTGTGATTATTGATTAATCAGTTACTCGTTTTCATAAAAGATAAAGGAGAAAATATTCAGTGATTTAAATATTAACGAATATTGCTGCATAAAGACGGCACGTTGACGATTGAAAAGATAAAAACATACCGTCTGTCCTATGATTTAGTTGCTAGTTTGCGAATGTAAATATCTATTTTCAGTAAAACAACCAAAAATGAAACATGTTTCAGATGTGATATGTCTTTCATTTCGAGTTACTGTGATATATTAAGTCAACATATGAATGAAAAAGAACATTGTTAATTGATGAAACGCCATTGATAGCTCTAAATGTCGAAGACAAGGCCAAGTAAGAGGTGTTTTTCTTCTTTTCATGCTGAAGTTTTTAGTAAACTCTGCATCATGAGAAAGAAGAAACTGATTGGCTAATAAAGGGACACAATTAGTACTACTATTAGTGCTGGAAATGCCATCAGACTGTTGACAGAACTGGTCTCCAAAGACTACAAAGATTTTCACAATGAGGAATTCCAGCATCTTCTTAATATATACTTCAGGGTATTTGTGTGTAGAATCTTAACGAATTTTAACGAGATATTTTTGTAGGTGACCAATAACAAGAAACCAGAATTTCCAAATTCCATATTTATTGAAGAAGCAGTTGTCTATGACGTCAATATGCCTGGTCTTAAGTTTGTCGTGGGGAATAGTTAAGTGTAGAAAAAATCGTTCGTTTAGATTTTATTGATTTTGGAAAAATCTGATGATTTCTAGTCTTCTAAAAGTTCTTTTGAGTTTTTGAGAATCCACATTTGACTTACACTTTTGCATACGTAGTAGCACAGTACGTCTATTTCTCCTTCACAGAGATTAATATTTTTGTGAGGAGTACAGCCAAGGCTTGATAGAACATTTACTGGACCCTACAATGTATCTTTGTTTGTCAGGATTTTATGCAGTTTTGGAATCAGTTCTCTTGTATCTGTTTTCTTCACTCTGTTATAATTATATGTGTATCTGCACTTTTTTCAGTTTGAAAGAAGCAATATTTTATATCACTGTCTATCAGAAAATATATATTATTCTAAGTCCCTAAGGACTTAATTACCATCCATGCATGTCAGAATTACCACAAAAATTCAGAAAGAAAGGATTCAAACTTTCAAAAGTATATATTTATGGAATCTCTCACGATAAAAAAAATTAATTGCAGCAAAATGAATAATTAATTTGTAGATTGCTCCCTCAATAAAATCTATGAAGGAAAATCTGGGGACTTACAGGTAATGCATATGCTGTTCACTACATTATCATCTAGAGAGGTTTCACCATAAAGGTAAATGTAGGGCAGTGTTCTCAGTGTTAGGAGTATTTTTGCGCTACCTGTAAACAATATGTGTATGTTCCATGTAAGACAAAGCCTATAATAGACACAAAAGATCATGTGATTTACCCTTTAGAGTTCTTAGACTTTATAATACCAGAGTCCTGTAATGGACACCCAGAAAATGCGCTCTAAAACTGGTTTACATCCTGTGAATGCCCAACCTGTGTTAACTGTAATAAACATCAAACACATGAAATCCTGGATATCAACTTAGCTTGTCAAATTCAGAGACAACAATACAGAGTGAGAATTGTTGACCTCAGAAGTAAAATCATACTTCACAAGTTTGCTATCCTTGCAAGACTGAAATCTACAAACAAAACATATAGAGAGACGTATGAAGATTGAATCTCCAGAATTCAACTAAAGATGAGTATCAAAGCCCAGCATCTGGAGAGAGTCAGAGGGAGCAGGTCTAAAAAATCTTTGAAAAATCGAATCGAAGCCCACACACAGGGATATGTACACAAATATGACCATTAACTAACAATCCAGATAACTTGCTCCTGTTTCTGAAGAAAACCCCTAATCTATTCCTTAGATCTTGTACCTTCCTGACTGTTATATTTTATATTTTCTTTACTTGAAGAAATCGATAGAGAGGAAGTGCCTTAGTTTTTAGTATAAATCTTTCAAAATGATCTGACTGATGTTATAGTAAACTCAAAATTACAGGGACAAAGGAAGGACAGGTGGAAGATACATCTCGAATACAAAATTCTTTCACACTCACAATTGCTTTTCACGGTGTGCACATTTTCTGTGTCACGTCAGGCAGAGTTTGGGTTGGTGATGTTTAATTTTACGGAAGCCCATTTGAGGGCGACTTTGGTCAGTCCCAGATTCTGGATAAATGCAGCTGTATGTAAGAGGACAATAACATTGGATTTCAAGTTACAAATTCATATCTTAATGATTTTACAGCACAATTCAAATTGTAAAATTCTGCAAAGTTATTACGCTGTCATGAATATTGGACAAGAACAGGAAAAAAAAACAATGCCATAACGACACAGATATATATTCTATCCATTATCTATGGATATTTTGCTGAAACAATTTACATGAAATTTTACAAACATTTTGTTGAATGCTACATATATAGAAACATGTTACGCAGACATATACCACCTTCAATTAGTACCTCGGATGCATACATTTACTTTACTGGATACAAGTTCAAAGATGGAGAGGCAATGTACTGTAAACATCTCAGAATCTTCTTTGTTGTTAAATGTTTGAGAAGCGGTAGCGGATTCGGAACATCTAATTTTAGATTGAGCAATCAGTAAAACTTATTAATCAATACTGGAACATATATGGCCAGTGCATAAAGGAGTCCAAGACTCCAAGTCTAATCCCCCTCTTTTTAATCTTTTTTTAAATGGATTTGGGCTCCAGACCTTTGAGATCTAATTTTTAGTGAGAAAAAAACCCCACTAGAATAGATCTGAATAAGTGTCAATCAATAATTCAAACTTTTTCATAAAAATGTTGAAAATGCTTTCCTGATTATAATAAGAAATGAGAGAGAGAAAGAGAGAGATTTTTTTAAAAAGTTGGATGACTTTTTGCTGCATTGCGGGGTTTTCGTCACATGCACCTAATCCGAGATTCGCTGCATATGTCATAATACCATGATATAAACAGATAAAAGCAGGGTTTAGAGTCAGAGGCGTCTCGGATTAACATGTACCCTGATCTGTTCATTCATTACTGTTTATGTCCGTTTAGGTCATTGACAGCTTTCCATAATTCGTAGTTGTAATACGCGATTATGAACTACAAATATTTAGAATTAACAGTTAAATAATTACCTGTCTGATGCAACTATATTAAACTATATCAAACTGTCTTCCCTGTTCGAGTGCATACAGCATAGACCATGGAGAGTGTAACACTAACAGGATGCTATTCTTTCTTTCGTGTGTGATGTTATTTAACTCGTTTAAAGGACGGCGTTGACCTACATTTTCTGCCACCTGGTAGACAATAAGCACATAAGGGAAAAAAAGGCGGAGTTATCTACATCACTGTCAGTGATGCTGATAAGAGCAGGCACTGCATGCAGAGCGACTGAATCAGCTTTGTTTACACACAAGAAAACTCCAATCTGTTTACATAAATGTTTTTATCAGTACCATTAGCAATAAATACTAATTTCTTTATACTTGAGAATTTTTATAATATCTTCAAACAAAGAGAAATGTTATATATAATATTAAAAAAATCATCAGTATATGTACTTTAATTACCTCTGATTAATTTATAGCAGTCCATACCTGGAATGAAATGTTTATAATTTTATTGAGCCAGAACTCTATACATTTTAATTTCTTTTTCTTGCTCTGTAAACAGATTTAATATATCTATTCCAAATGCTTTTCCGAAAGTTATATGTGCATTTTTGTAATTTTTCTTTCCTTTCAAACTACGGGGCATTCTGTGGTTTGGTTTTCAGGCTGATTGTTTTTTTGTTTGTTTGTTGTTTAACGTCCCTCTCGAGAATTTTTCACTCATATGGAGACCCCACCACTTGCCGATGGAGAGCTACAAATTTTGACCTATACTCGGCACTTTGGGCCATTGAGCAGTGAGGGATCTTTTTCGTGCCAGCAGCTACTGCGACACGGGACCTCGGTTTATACGGTCTCATCCGAAGGACCGGTCTCCACGTCCCGCAGTGGGATTCGAACCCGCGACTTAAGGATCAAAACCTTACTCCGCGACTCTAGAGCAAACGCTCTAACCAGTGCGCCACGTGGGCGACGTTTCCAGACTGAAGTAAATTCCCTGTCAGCATTTTCATTCCAGTGACAGACTGCTATGTTAGCTCTTTCTTTATATTGATCATCAGAAAACGAAATTCTTTTGTCCTGATAAACATTTACAACATTGTTAAAACTATCAAAGTAATATATGTCCGGGCAAAGTCGGTAATCTTGAGGATTTTTAAATATATCAGAATTTCTTATAACTTCCACGTGCACTGCACGTGGATCTGTTATAACCTTTCGTGAAATTTCATTAGTTTGGATCTTTCCTGCATCGTGATGTTGAGTGATATGGTTGTTTTTATAACGTTGAATGATATTTAATAGAAGGGATTGAAGTTTCTCCGGATTTTCCTCACAGTTCCTGATAGCCCAGTCGAAATGAGTAGCCACGGGTTCTACTTTATCATCTAGTTGGGATGACCAAGTTTTCCCTTCCAAATATGCTGATCCACTGGATATTTTTTTTTCGAAGCAGATTTCACAGATTTTACAGCATGGCAGGTGTCATTTTGACTTTCAGACTCGAATCCCTCTCTAATAAAGTTATTAATAGATAGATTCCTGTCATGGGCATTAACACCTACTGTGACGTCTTGTTTCTTCAAATGTTCATAATTTTTTTTTCTGTTTTCTGTTCCGAATCTCTCGTGTCTTTGTGTCACAATATCATCGAATTTGGTGACATGCTTACAGGATAAAACTTTGTGTTTTTTCTCCAATGGCCACCACACTCAAGTCCTTGGCATTTTTCCTCCAGCCATGTCTAGCATCTGTCATGATGTCTACTCTACCAAGATCTCCATTCTCATATGAGGCAATTTCCTCTAGAACAGATGTATATATGGACTCCTTATATTCTTCCTGTATATACTTCTTCTCTATGTTGAAGAACTTCTGTCTCTTGTTTTTTTAAAAAATCTTTCCAATGCCAGCGCCATCAACAAATTTAACATAATGGGATGGTAGCATACCATTGCCGGCAAATGAGTGGTTTACTCTGTTGTTTACCAAATACTCGTTATTTGGTAAATATGGGGATGAAGACCATAGAAAAGTGTGATTACAAGATCCATCACCGGAAAATCGAGCAGAAATAACATGTCCTTTTTGTTGTATTTTCTTGATTTTTAGGTTTTCTTCACAATTTCCTCTGTAGTGTTCTGCCACTTCTACAAGTCTCTGCAGAGATCGTTCTGCACACAAAAATACTTTCTGATTGACATCTTTCTTTTGAACCTTTATGTAGATACTGGGTGCAGGTGGCATCTCTTGATCATTCTCCTAACCACCATCTGATTAATCAAACTAAAGTTTGAATAAATGTTCAATAACCTGAAGGTTTCTTAAATCTGCTGTTTAACTGATTCCTGATCTTTTGCAAATTTTCTAATACAGAATGTTTTTGATCCTCATCTCCTGCGAATTCAATGCGGAAATTTGGATACCTTTTTCTCTTTTTTGCTGGACTTGCCATTATGATTTAATGAAAAACAATGATAGAAAACAGTAAATGGACCCCTAACCTTTGTTTTATAATTGGTATGTTCCATCTATTATGAATTGTGAATCAGGGTAGAAGAGTCTAATTTTTCTTGTACTACAGTTCCCTTACTAAAACTTATTTTTGATTTTGCTTTCATGATAAACAAATATTATGTAAGTTAACACATCTCCTTTTCAATTTTAATGATATAAATATAATAATTAATTGTTCACATATCTGTGTTAATATATTGACACCCCCATAATGATAATGGCTCCAACTGACACCTAACCCAACTGACACCCGCATTTTAGCATTTCCCCGCAAAAACTAGTGATCTTTCTTCTGTAGGTGACATAATCAAGCTTAGTGCAAAATTACAAGGGGGTTCTTGCAGGATAATCATCCAAGAAAATTTTTGTCTCAGTCTTTAAATTTATGGGATACATATGGTAGGAAGTGACTAAATTATAGAATAGATATGCCGAGATGTAAGAGACAACTGAAATGGTTGAAAAATAATTTACACATACAGTGTACATCATTGCCCTAAATAGTCCCCTAATGTACCCTCATACATCAGGGGTAAGCCTATATTTCTAGCTACATATAGGCCATGATGAAAATGGAGAGAATTGAGGAGAGATCTATGTTAGCATTTGAGTCTGTCTTTACTGCAATTGTCAGTCTTCACGATCCATCGTTGAATACCGATCCCGAAATATTTTCATGGTATTTAAATGTAAGTTTGTGTGGTAACTGAATATCATACAGTTTCAAAGTACTTTTTCATGAGCTAAACGTATTTCCACTAATCATTCAAAAGAGATTTCAGTTAGTCTTTACTGCAATTTTCAGTCTACACGATCCATTGTGGAATACCGATCCCGATGTATTTTCATAGTATATAGATATAAGTTTGAGTGGTAACTCAATATCAAATGGTTTCAAATTACACTATCATGAGCTCATGAACATGATCTAAACCCTGCCTCTCAAAATGCAAACGTCATAAGTTTAATTACACTGCCCGATATAGTTTTTGCAAAGTTGGTCAAAGGTCAAGGTCAAGTGGATTGTAATACTAGAATTTTTCATATTGTCTTATGACAAACAGAGCACATGCTAGATAACACACGCTTACCTCTTTTAAATGTCAAAATATGCTGTATATCGACACTATGGACTACTTTGAAAAGTAGGTCAAAGGTCACGAAGTCGGTAACCATGGTAATTTACAAAAGCCATAGTGGCAAGCACTATATTTGCGAAATATCAAATCCATACTTCTCACAGTTCCTGAGATATAGGGTGTGACACGCGGACAGCTAGACATACAGACGCCGGATTAAGTGATCCCTTAGTGCCACTGTGCTCTGCAGGCGACACAAAAACAAATGCAGAATACAATGGAAAATTAAATTGTATTGCTTATTTCTGACTAAACACACATCCGATTGCAAGTGTATCCAATATTATCTCAACTCATATTTTAAATAATAAATATCAGTATATAATGTCTGAATCTGTTCTTTAATCAATTTTAAAAGCAATTCTTCTTATTAATGTATCTGTATAAACATAGTTCACCTAAATATGATCCAACCCATAAAAGGTGGTTAGTGTCATCATAGGCCAGACACCATGGTATCCAAATGTTTGGCATTGTCAACAGCCATATCAGAAAATGACCGTCTTTGTCTATCATATGTACGGAGCCTGAGTTGCGATCACACACCAGGATGTTTGATAGTACGTCTGTACAAATCCCACATGGAAAAAGTTCGTCGAATGGAGGTCCGATGTATGAGAACCGAAAGCCTCCCGCACGGTCTGTAACAACAACAGCACCACTATGTGAGGGTCTAATATCTGACACAATGATATCTCCATTAATATTCTCTGCTATATATACAGGACAACTATAAAGTTTCTTCTTACGCCTTTTGTATTGGACAGTTTGGATCTGTATTCCTTTGCTGTTGTATCGGTTTACTCTGGCCTCCGTAGGATAGTCTTTAGCTATATTATATTTACCAGAAACTACCAGTTAATCTCCATTTAACGGGGAGCTGTAGACACAGAGTGGTCTCCATGGATCTGATTTCTTTATCAGATTTGACTCTGTTGTGTTGTCTTGTGATAATTTACAGATATTATCATTTTTATTTATGTAAATGAGTTCTTTTTCTCTGGTCACTGTATGTACACCAGTACCAATATCTGTAACTGCCAGCTGATGCAGCATTTCACCAGTTGTATTTGTCAAGATCAAGCTATTTTTATCACTTACCCAGATTTTATTTGGTGATCCATAGGAAATATGACGATACTCTTTAATTCCTGTCACAATTATAGATTTGTGAAACTCAGGTTTGGGCATCATTTTCAGGAGAGATTCATTTCTTACTTGTCTTTTCTCTATCTCTTTCTGTTGAATTTTTCCTATCAAACAAATCACTTCCTCCTTAATGTCTTTCATTTTAGGAACTTGAAACTTCTTTAGCCGCAAAAGGAATACTACTGGTCTGTTTGCTGTCTGTTCAAATTGATGTTCATATCTCATCATGTTTTCAATATGTTTTTTTCGACGTAGGAATTTTGATAAGATTAATTGATAATTTTATTTAGTAAATTCCTTTCGCATTTTTTTGTCAATAAAATTCTTCAGTC